AAGCAGGGATATCTGTACCCCTGGAACAGCAGTTCTTAGGAGACCCTTGCTTAGAAAGCTGGGAGAAGCCATGTCTGTGGGCAAAACCACCAACTCCAGGAAAGCAGAGGCAAACATGGTCCCTAGGCTTAGGGGACCACCAGCTACTCCTCCCCCTGCCACACATACACACACCAGGGTCCTTCATAGTCATTGTGTCTATAGGTCTGGCAAGACCTCCTGGCCTGGAGCCTGCCTTTTACCCCCCCTCTTGATTCCTGGGGCTCTTGCATACCTAAGAAGGGCTGGCGGCCCACCCAGGAGGAGGATCCCTGGCAGGGTGGGGGCTTCCCAGAGGCAGCTGTAAAGAGGATAGCTGCTCCCTTTCCTGAGAAAGGATCCATGACATGGTGGCCCTAGGAAAAGAGGACTGGCCAGCCCCTTGCCTCTTAAGAGCTGTCAGGAGAGGGCGCTTGGGGGCCCAAGGGAGAGCCTTCCTTTCCTGACCAACATTCCCCAGCCTCTGTTTGGAAGCTCTAGTATGCTGCCCTCTTCCCCTCAACCCTCATTAACAAATTCTTCCTCTGGTCTGATTTAATCTTCCCTGGTGATTTTTCAACATACCATCATCTGCCAGAGAGCAACTTAGTTCAGCTGGCGCCTTAAGGGGAGACTTGCAGGGGAAGTCATCTCTTGGGGGCTTGGTATGGGAACCCCAGGGTTGAGAACTCTGATGGAGGGAAAAGGATTGTCCTCCAGGAAGCTCCCTTGGGGGCAGTTTTGGTGGCTCATCCCCTCCAGGAAGACTTAGCTGAAGCATGGGGCTGGGAACAGCTTCTATTAAGTCACTCAGTTCCATCAGGGCTATTACACCACCACCACCAGAGGACACCTTCTCCAAGAGGCACTGGGCACCCTTGGAGACTCAGGGCTCCTCTTCCTGCCTGTATCCCTTTCCACACAAGCACACATACAAGGAAGAGACATACCGGAGGTCTTGGAGCTAGGGGCCACTCTCCTAAAGGCACAAAGAAGATCAAGGAGAGACCTACAAATAGGGAGGGGGGAGTTCATTCTGACCCTCAGAAGTATCTTGAAGACTGGGCCATGTCTGACTCCCAGGCACCCCTTGGGGCCTGCTGCCCCACTAGACTTCCTGCTTGGGGGCTGTGCCTTACTGAGTGATCTCTTTTGGTGCCTTGCACAGCATCCTGTTTGTACATGCTCCGTGCATGTTTGCTGAATGAGTCGCTGTCCCCGCACACCTTCATGTCTGCCTGCTTCTAGAGAGGTACTCCATAGGGCTTTGAGAAAGCCCAGGTCTGCAGTTCTTTGGGCTGGTCAGGCATGGGAACATTTTTATATTCATGAATTGCTCAGGTTGAAATGCATGTGAATTTGCCAATGACCTGTTATTATATTTTTCTTTAACAGTATGACTGAGAGGTAAAGCTGTGGCCTGGGTCCTGTGTCTGGATTCAGGGACACACCTCCCTGTGTGCTTCTGCTACAGTCCAGCCTCTGCCTTTGTTGATCTCCTTCCTCTGGGTCTCTCTAAGTCTATAGCCTGACATCACCAGGCCCCCTCCTCCTCTCCCCTAGGAGCCCAGGGACCCTGCCAGGCTCCCTAGTTAGTTGGGAAGGCTCTGAACTGAGGCTCCTGGGACAATTGGAAAAAGCCTCTGAGGAAAAAAAAAAAAAGAAAATTCATGTCTGACCTCACTGTGCTTTTCTGCCCAATGAAGCAGCACCCACCTACCCCTAGTGGGGCTCCTGAGCTGTTCCTGCTTTGGAGTAGGGATGGTGCTGGGAAACAGTGGGGACTCAGCCATGGGGAAGGCTACCTAGGCATTTCTACCCAGTAGAAATAAGGAGGTCACCCTGTCCTGGTTCTGGTCTGGTTCAGGTCTAGAGCACAGTGTATATGGGAGCCTGCCAGGTCCTTCTGGAACTTGTCTTCTGGGTCAGTTCTGGACCAGGTACTATACCCACAGATTCATCCCAGACACAGCTCCAGAGGCCTCTGGGGGGCAGACGCAGCAGAATCAAATCCTCTGAGGCTCCTTTGAACTTGCATCTGTGGCCCCCACTCCCATCCCACAACCTGTTTCTGCTCAGGGGTCCTCTTCCCTGAGACAGCAGGCAGGCCTGAAATATGGAAGCACATGGATCTCTTTCCCTTGCTTCTAGGCTTCATCTGCCTGCCATTCATTTTTTTTCCCCCAACAAATCTGAACCTGTGTTATTCAGCCGGCATCCTTAGAATAATGTGAGGTGCTTCCCGTTTCTTCTCCCTTGGGTTGGAGTGTCCGGGAGTGAGAGGGAGTGTCTCCTATTCATATCTTCCTAATGTCTAGTTCTGCCACCAGGAGAGGGGCAGGTCTGCCGTGCTCCAAGTCCCCCCGAAGGTACATAAGTCTGAAAAACTCTGAGAGGCGAAGTCAGTTCTAATATAGACTCATGAATTTTGGTAGGACCTTAGGTTTGTTCAATATAACTTCTTTCTAGATGTAAGACTTCCCCCTACACAAGCATCCTATGTATTGAGCTCTGGCTGTGTCTGGCACCGGTCTGTGTTTGGTTACCTCTGGGGGCACAGAGCCTACTGGCTTCTGTTGGAACAGTGCTAATTCTTTTTTTTTTTTTTTAATTCTATGGATCTTTTATTTCATTTATTTACTTATATGCGGTGCTAAGGATTGAACCCATGCCAGGCAAATGCTCTACCACTGAGCCACAGCTCCAGCCCCCAGTGCTAATTCTTCTCCAGTCCTAACTGGGCTGAGTCCAGGCTGCCCTCTGACCCTTCCCTCTGTGGCCTTCTCTCCTAGGGAGGGCTAATGGCTCACTAGGCCACCCCCACTGGGCCCCCCCACCCCCCCACCCCACCCTCCACCCACTGGACCATCTCCAACCCCAGACATAGACTGAGGTTCAGGGAGTTACAGGACTGGAGCTCCCTCCAACGCTAGAGTTCTGCTGTGAAACAGGCTTCAGTTTCCAGGCTGGACCTGGGTGCTCCAGCTCATGCTTGTGGGATGAAGGAGTTTGTTCCTAGAAGGGGAAGGGCTCACCCATGGGCCCACAGTGTCTGCTCCCTAGCCAGGCCACCTGTGCCTGGCTCTCTCCTTGGCTCCTCTCTGCTTCCCCTGTTTTCCCTGCGTTCCCCCTTTCTCTCCCAGGCTTCTGCTGGGAGAGAAATGCCCATCCCAGCAAGCCAGAGCCTCAGTTTTCTCATCCACCAAATGGGAATAACCATCATGTTTGCTTTACTGAGTGATTGTAATTGACAGACAACTAGTGCATGCGTGGCAGTGTTCACTTTAAAAAAAAAAATAATAATAAGCTCCTTTTCCTCTGCGCTTTCCCTTTATCCAGTAGAACTTCTGTGACATTTCCACCTCACCTCCTTCCCTTTCTCCCACAATTTCTCTTGGCTTCTCTGTTCTGCCTCTCCCGGTTCTGCTCCCTTCCCTTGTCTCCCACCTCCTTTCACTCCCCAGCCCACCCTCCTCCAGCGCCTGCCACAGACCTCAGGACCCAGGCTGTGCTGACAAGGGCAGGGCAGGACAGACAGGGCCGGCTGGGCTGGGCTGAGCTGGTGGCACTCTCCAGTTTTCATTAGAGGTCCAAGAATGTGTGGAGTCATGAGGGACAATGAGAGCCAGCAGGAGGAAGAATGGGGCCTCTGTCAGGGCAGGAGAAGTCTCCTGCATCCTGGGCTCTGCTGAATGGGACTACCTGAGGGCCAGGGAGGGGTAGAAACTCAGGGCTGCAGGTGGTGAGCCCCGGGGTTGGCGGCAGAGCTCTCTGGAGTCAGCCACCATGGGAATTCTTAGTGTCTGATGGCATTTCTGGGGAGAGCTTGGACCTCGGGATCCTGGGAGACAGGCACAGGGAAGCCAGAGAATGTTCCAGCAGCCCTGTGAGGTGGCCTTTACATACAGAGGATGCTCCTCAGTCTGCTTCGGCTGTCTTGGCCCCAGCTCCTACCACCCGCAGAGCTGCAGAAGGCCTGGGGGTGGCCACAGAAGGGGTAGGTCAGTGGGGATGGTGCCAGTGTGAGAAGGGTGAGGCCTTTTACTGCCTGGGTACAGAGAAAGCAAATTCCCCCGTTGGAGGAGGCAGGGTTTTCCTGGGAAAAGGAGGTGAGGCCCATTTGACCTGCCTTCCTTCCTTCCTCTACAGTCCACATGAGGTCCAGCCAGGCCAGGCCTGAGACCTGATGGCTGTCATCATCATCCTGGCCCCCACCAAATCTCCCAGAAAACACCTTACCAAGAGAATCCAGGTTACAGAGTTTACTTAGGGCTGGTCAGGTGGTCGGGGTCTGGCAGGCAGGCTAAGGCCTGTGTCCAGGGACAGGAAGCCTGGACAGACTACTATGGCCAGGAATCCGAGGGAAGGACAAGGTGAGGGTGGGTTGGGGGGCCAGACTGGAGCTGATCTTGTCCTCCCTGGGGAAGGGGACTGATGGGGACAGGGGTATGGGGACATGGTGGGGAGAGAGGAGCTGGGGCTTTGGAGATAGAGAAGGGAGGGGTCAGGCGTGAGGGAGAGGGGGCCTGCAGGGAGCTGCCTTAGGTCTCCTGCCAAAAATTAAACCATAAAAAAGCTGGAGGGGAGCGGCAGGGGCAGGAAGGAGAGAAAGGAGATGGGGAGGGAGGGAGGGGACCAAACAGCCCCTCCACACCAATAGCCCGGCAGGGGGACGTGAGTAATACAGGCTGGTTCAGAGGGAGTGAGATCAAAAGCGAGTAGATACAAGAGGTTTGTGCTTCACCGACCAGACAGCCAGAGGCTCAATGAGACCTTTGTTACCCAGGCCCAAGTCAGGGTTGAAGGAATACCTGACCGCCCCCGCCTGCCCGTGCCCCGCCCCCACTGTCCACAGGGCTGGGGGAGGGGCGGGTCACAAGTGAGTCAAGTTGAGTTGGGCACAGCCCGGGCCTGGCCAGCGGTGGGCGGGAGGAGGGAGGAGGCCTGCCCTCACTGGGGCGTGGAGCTTCTGGGGGTGAGTGGAGGAGTGAGTGGCTGCCTGGCAGGCAGGAAGTGGCTCTGCGGGATTGTGAGGGAGACTGCGAGGGAGAGGGGGCCTCGTTGGGTCCCCCAGGTGAGCAGCCCTTGGGATCCCAGTTCCTGGCCAGGATGCCTTGGGAGGGCACTGAGGGCATTCTACCTGGAGCTCAAGGCCCTTTGCAGGTCCTTGGTCTGGGGCTCTGGAGGTTCATGAGAGGATGGGAAGGAGCCCAGGCTGTGGGACAAGGGCCGACCCAAAGTTCAGGTGGGAAACTGAGCAGGGCCTACATTGACCCTTAAGGTTGCGTAAGTCTGGGGGGGGGGGTGTGCAGTGATGGCGAGTCTGGGAATCCAGTTAGAGGAGGGTTGTCCCAGCCGGCCTCCTGCTAAGGACCAGGGAGTCTGCCCGAAGCCTGGGGGTAGGACTGAAGTGTGTATGTGTGTGTGTGTGGGGGGTGCAGCTACTCTGTGGCAGATACAGGTTCTGACCTGAGCCTGAAGCCTTTTGCCACCCTGTTGGGGGCCCCAGAGAGAGGTAAAGGCTGCGCCTGGAGATCTGAGTCCCCTGGGGCTTTCCTGAACCTGGGCAGACGTGCGGATACCCACAGCGAACCTGTTGTGGGAGAGGGGAGAGGAAATGGAACTTGTGTTTGGGACAGACCTTTTCCAGGGTCCTGAGATCTTGGTGTCCCCCAGTTCAGCTCTTCACCCTGGCCTGGGGTTGCCTGTGCTAACCACTGAATCCTGCTAACCAGAGTGGCAGTGTACTGATCCCTCCCAAAAAGCAGTGCCCAGGGTCAGCTCTTAGCTGGGCTGTCCCCAGCTGGTGGGCATTTCAACCCTGCCCTTTTCCTGCCTCCATCGAGATCCAACTAGGACTGAGGTCTTCCTGTCCTCCATATCTTGTAAGAATGGGTGCGCTTGGTGATTGCGCATACTAGTCCTGGGTGGTGGGAGCCACCCCAACCCTGGGAGGGGGTTCAGACTTTTGTTCCCCCTCTAAAGAGAAGGCAGTCGCTTGTCTTTGCGTTCCTTTGTCCACACCCTCCTTTGCCACTCTGCTTCCTGTGCTGGACTGGAAAGGGTTAAGTTTTATAAAGAGGGGAGCCTACTATGGGGCCTCTCTCAGGCACCGGCCGGCCAGCCTTGAAAAGAACCAAGATCCAGCCTTATTCGCTTAGGGAGGGGTTAGTTAGGAACCCTGGGAGGGGGCTGGAAACTAATTAAGGGAATTCGAGGAGGTCCTTTATGGCCAGGAAGCCACCCCTCCTCATACCCGGAGTGAGGGCCATTGTGTGGGGCCTTTGCAGGGCAAGAACTGGAAACTCATTACTGGGTTAGCTTTAGTGTTCTTGGGGCCAGGCAGGTGGTGGGGGATGGTGGGAGAATGTAACTTGGGGGGCCCAGGACTTCTGGGAGGCAGTGTGGGTGGGTCCGGGTGGAAGAGGATGGGAAGGGAGTTGGTGGGGTTCCCCAGGTTCCCTCAGCCGCCTGCTTCCTTTTGAGATTCCTGTTGCTGGACCCCCTCAGCTCTGCTGTGGCCTATGGCTTTTCATTCCTATGTGATTGCTGTTCCAAACTCATGTAGGGCTAAAAGCCATGGGCTACAGTGAGGGGCGAGCTCCTCCTGCAGCAGCTGTACCTCCTCACAGGACCAGCCACAAAGTGGGTGCCAGAAGGAGATCTGCTTGGGGGAGGGGACTGCAGGGGATTTAGTAACCTTGGGTCTGGGGCCAGGCTGTGTGTCCTTGGCCAAGTCACTTCCCCTCCCTGGACCTGGACCCTCACTCTGAAATCAAGAGACTGGACTGGTGATTCCAAAAGGAGAGAAAGGAGACATTCGGGCGTTCTAAGGCCTTATTGAAGTGTTGGGATCCCCCTTACCAAGTTACTGAGGCCTGGTTCAGGCCCAGAGATTTGGGGGCTGGAGTCCGCTGTTGAGCCACAAGGACTTGAGCCTTGTCAGGGCCTCGTCCTCACTCCCTTCATTCTCTGCTCAGCTTTGAATCCTCAGCCTTGGAACTCCTCAGTGACTGAAACAGGGGGACCTAAACTAAAAAGCCTGGACTTACCTAGGGGCAGCAAGTTGGAGTCTGGGGTCCCTGACCTCCCTTCTCCCTTCTTGCTAGTTGCTCAGCCTCCAGAGGCTCCCTGCCCGAGTGTATTTCCATTCCCACCCTGTTTAAATCTGCCTGACTCCATCCCTCCCATCCCCGGGAGACTCCCAACAGATGGAAATAAAGCTGGCGGTCTGGCTGGAGTGGCAGGGGAATCACCTCTCCTCCTGTAGCACCCCCGCCCCACAGCCCTCACTGGTCTAGCCCCAGTCTACCTAAGACACATTGCTGAAGGAACAGTATTATGTTTGATATTGATAATCAAAAGCCGAGTTACTTATAATGTCTTGGAGCCCTTAATTTCCCCCATTAACATTTACCAAGGGCCTACGATGTACCATGATTCTAACCATCTTACCTGTCCTGACTCATTTCATCTCTAACAGCCCTACCTATTATTAGCCCATTTCCCAGGGAACATGCATATGGCTAGTAAGGGGCAGAACTGGGATTTGAACCCGGATTGTCTGGTGCTAGGACCCATACTTTTCTTTTTTAGTTGTACATGGACACAATACCTTGATTTTATTTCTTTATTTTTATGTGGTGCTGAGGATCGAGCCCAGTGCCTCACACGTGCTAGGCGAGCACTTTACCACTGAGCTACAGCCCCAGCCCTAGAACTCATACTCTTGCCACATCATGCTGGATGCTGGGAAAGCCAACACCTGTGCTTAGGGAAGTGCTTTCTGAAACCTGGGCAGTGCTGTGCTCACCAGGACTGCTTCTCACCTGGGTCTCTGTGCACAAATTGGCCCTGCAGCTGGCCCCAGTCACCCTCTGTCCATCACTGGTTTTCCATTTCCAGCAGGAGCAGAGGAGGAAAACGAAAACAACAGGCCAGGCAGAGAGAAAGCCTAAGCCAGCTGGGTTTTTTGCTGGGGCTGATCCAGGCTACTTCCCCTCCTGCCCCAGCTCAGATGGTGAAAGGAACAGGAATGAGGATTCGCTGGGGGTTTCGCTTGCCTTCTGAGTTCTTTCATCACCCAGGGATCAGAGTTGGCCAGCTCCTGCCCCTACCTCCCTCATTGTCCCCCGGGCTCCAAATGAGCCTGTCTTATTTCCTACTCTGCTCTGAGGGCCTCCTGGTCTGCCTCCCTGGGCAACCATTCTTCTTAACTGGAAAGACATGGAGCAGTGCCCCTTTTTAGTCCCCTGCCCCTGGGCCCTTCCTGAGAGTTCTGTTATACAGTTTGCCCTGAAGCCCTCAGCACGGAGGAGAAGGCACAGGTGAACAGTTTTCAAAGGCTGTAGCTCCAGGAAAACCACAGCACACAGTAGGGACTGAGTAAGTATTAGTGGAAGGAATTGTGAACTGGGAGAAAAGAGGGTGAGGTGAAAGAGGTCATTGGCCATAAACAGATGCAAAACAGGCCCACAGCTCAGCAACTCCCCAGACAGGCTCACCTTTGCTGGGACTGGGCCTGGGTGCTTCTGGGGTTCCAAAGGTGGGCCTCCTTTCCATCCTTTGTCTCTTGGCCACCACCACTGGGGCGGGCCTGGAGAAGATAGGCAATTATATATTTCGCATAGTTGTTGGACTGCCTTGAATAGGCAAGCTGGCCTCGTGCCCTCTCTCCCTGAGGATTCACAGATCAGAGGGCTGCGTCTGTCCTGTCCCCTGCTGCAGAGCCCTGCAACAGAAAAATTCTGAGCAATCGAAGTCTCTCTCGCAGTCCTCAGATAGACCCAGCAGAAGGCCTCCCTTGGGAGAACAGGCCCCTGTTTAACCACGCTGAGATCCAGGCGAATCTCTCTGGTGGTATTTGTCCCATTTTTTTTTTAAAGTAGAAATGGAGTTTGACTGCTAAACCCTGCTTCTTTCTAAATGCAAAGACTATTGAAAAAAAAAAAAAAATCTCTGTCCCCATCTGTAGAAGGGGATGGCACTGAAGTTTAACCTCAGGGGATCTCTTGTGGCACTGTTAGTCTGGGTCTGCCACTGTCACGTTGATGCCCCTGTCTTCCTGTCATACTTGCAATGACTTTGAGGGTGGGCCAGCCTCTGGCAAACCCTAGATGCAAGGCACAAGGACCTTTCAGCCCCTGGCCACAGTGTCCCCCAATACCTTAGAATGCTGATAGATGTCTGGCTGCCCTTGTAGTTGGGCGGGGGTGGGGGGTGGTTCTTTCTGCATAGACTGGCAGGCAAGGAGCAAGGAAGGCTGACCTTGACAAGCTAGAAACTGTAGCCTCTGAAGCCCATGAAGGCAGAGAGGGCTTGGCTCCTGGTTCCAGGGCGCTCCTCTCCAGCAGGCCAAGAAGGAGTTAACTCCAAGGAGGACCCGGGATTCTCCTAGACTAGAGGCCAGTGCCCAGCTTTGCTCTGCCAACTCCGGGAAGAAGTCCTGGGATCTGTAGTTTGTGCCACCACCCACCCCTGGCCTGCCTGTTTATCAACACAGCCTGGCAGACTACAGTTCCCAGAAACCTGCAGAGGCTAGGCTTTGGGGGAGGGGGTGGGGTGTGAGGCTCTGTGATGGCAGGAGAGGAGAGGGAGGAGTGGGGAGAGAACCCAATTCACCCCCTTCCTTTTTAATTCTTTCTCCTGGTGTGTGTGCTCCACCGCCCGAGCTAATCCCCCAAATCCGGTCTCCTAAGCCGCAGCTGCTTCCCTTCGAAGTGATGAATGGCTCGGGGAGGGAAGGTGAATTCATATTTTAATTACTGAGGCGCAGGGGAGGGGGCGGAGGGCTCAGCATTGTTCCTGAGGCATTGAGGGCGCCCCTCCCTGGGTCACTTCTCCTGCCCTTTACCTGGGGTAGGGGGTGCTGGTAGGGGTGGGGGCGGGGGCATCTTGGCTTGAAGCTCCTCTGGTTCTTGAGCCTTGCAGGCTGAGGACTAGGAGGACAATTTTCCCCTCACTTGTCAGAGGATTCCTGGCATGTCCCAACACTTTGTGAATCTCTTCCTACCCTCCACCTCCACTGCCACCCACTTGGATGGAGGACATTGCTGAGGAGTTTGAGGTCTGCAAGCCCGGGAGCCCTGTCTTGGGAGTGTCTTCTTAGTTCTTCCAGGTTTCCTGCCGGTCTCCCATTCACTGCCCTGTTTTGCCCGAGGTGCTAGAGTTAGAGGACTCCTGGGGGTGTGGCAGGGAGAGGTGCAGCCTAGGGGACGAGGAAATGGGCGAGCTGGGAGCCTGGGGAACCCCCAGTGGGGATGGGAGGGTGGATGCCTTGTGGCTTGGCATCGCATCTGCTGGGCTCCCACACAGCTGGCTGGACCCAGAAGCGTCTATGCCCTCAGACCCCAGACCATCTTGGACCCATGCTGGGGAAAAGCCAGAGAGTAAGATGGAGAAGGAGTCAGGGCCAACAGCTTGCAGTCAGCAAGGCCACTGTCGGATAGGGGGAGGCTGGTCCAGTGTCCACTGCCTCCTTCCTGCCCTGGGTTTCTAGGGGCTGCTTTTCAATTCCTCAGCCCCTCCCGGATGCGGACATGGACCAGGAGGATGGGAGGGGAGTTCCCAGCAGGAGCGCAGATGAGTGGGAAGTATTCCAGAGGCTAGAAGAGGAGGGTCATCAGGACCTGACTTCTCCAGGGAGCCTCCAGCTGGTGCTGGAGCACATTGCCAAGTGTGAGGGACAAAGGCAGAGGAGGGAGCGACCGGACCCCAGCCTGGGCAAAGCAGAGAGCCGAGACCACAGCCCTGCCCCAGGGCTCCCCAGGTACTTGTTGGTGGGGGTGCTGAAGGAGGAGGGGTGGGGCCCACAGCAGGCAGGGACGACGTGGATGGAAGATGGGATTCTCTCGCCATGTGTCCCCCACTTCAGGGACTAGCCTGGCGACCTTTGTGCCAATGATGGAACCCAGGTTGCCTTCAGGGCTTGGAGTGGGACTTGCAGTGAGGCCCCTGCAGGCCTAGGGGAGAAGGGGGAGCATTCGAAATCCAAGGTCTGGGCAGAAGGACCAGGCCCTGTGTCAACACTCTGGCTTGGGGAACAAGGACCCAGAATCCCACGGAGGCAGCCAGCCTCTGACTCCCGGAGCCAGGTTGCAGCCTTCCCTTTGATGGGTAAGTCCTGGTTCTTTCTGGCCCTTCCCAGCCTTCCTTACAGGGTGGGCTGAGCCAAGGACTCAGGATTCTCATCCTGTCCCTCCTTCAGGGAGCAATAGTCACTTAAGGAGGTACATTTTGCTGTTTTGAAGAAAGAGCAGGCATTGGAGAGGACCTGGGGGAAGAGGGACAAAGACCTCCATATCCTGGGGCCAGAGACCCTGCACTGCACCCAGACTTGGGGGAGGGAATGATGGTCAAAGCTACTTGCCAGGTTTTTATTTATTTGGTACCAGGGATTGAACCCGGGGACGCTTACCCACTGAGCCACATCTCCAGCCCTTTTTTAAATAGTTTATTTAGAGACCAGCGTCTGGCTGAGTTGTTAGAGCTTCGCTGAATTGCTGAGGCTGGCTTTGAACTTGCGATCCTTTTGCCTCAGCCTCCCAAGCTGCTGGGATTATAGACATGCACCACTGCATGCTGGTTTTAGATGTGAGTTCCTTCCCCAGATCGGCTGTGTTATACTGTGGGTTTCTCCATATATTTTTCTGTAATCTTGGGGTATTTTGTTGACAGTGTCCTTGACCTATACCTCTGGCATGGAAGCGTATGCATTACAATTACTGATGGCAAGGGAAGCCTCCTGCTCTCCCTCTCCCTTCTTCCTGCTAAGGCTGGGATTCCCAGTGCCCTTCTAGTCCCTTAGATTTAGGGTCTGAATGTTAACCTCAAATAATCTCATGATACACCGAAATGAGGAAATGAAGGGTCAGAGAGGTACAGCTACTTGCCCAGGGTGACACAGCATACCAGCGTCAGAGCCAAGAATAGAACCTAGGCCACTTAAGCTCCAGCTCAGATCCCTATCTCTCTAGGTTTGTCATGGGAGGGATCCAGAGATAGCTGCAGTAGATGAATCTAGAAATATTGTAGTTGTGTCTCGGCATTGTCTATATATATCCCAGAGATTGCTCTCTGCTCACTATATATACTCCACCAGAGTGGGTGCGTAAGTGGTGCTGGAAAGCAGGTTATTAAATAACAGCCTACCTACCCGTGCTGACTCAAGCTGGGCCTCCTGCCCACCCAGCTGGCCATTGGAAATGCATTGCACCTATTAATTACAGCTATTAGCTGTATTACCAGGATGCTGAGAGGGGGAGGGAGGGAGGGAGGGAAATATCCTGACAGGACCCAGCTCTGCAGCAGGCACTGTGCTTGGTGGGGATCTCTGCTCTGGAGAAGCTGAAGAATTTGGCCAAGGGATAAGATTCGCCAGACCTGGGGAGGTGTCCAGAGAGCCACCACCTGGGTTAGGCCAAATTTCTCAGGGACAGTGGAGCCACTTTGCATATGGGCCTCAAATTTGGAGCCAGGGCATCCTGTGCAATCCCTGCTGGTGAAGGGAGGTCCCTCCCGCGTCCTCTTTCCAAACCCCTCTGACAGCCCCTTTAAGCCTCGCTCACCCACTTGCTGCCAGCATTCTTCTTAGAGAGAGGAGACTCCCAGCAGACCCAGAATTCCATGCAGGTGCCCCAGCTGTCCTGCCTGAACTGGCTCCTCTGCTCCCCCCACAGGGGCCGCTGCACAGGATGGGCAGAGAGGTGAATGGGGGGAATGTGCAGAGGCTGCAGCTAGGGAAACCAGAGTGCGAGCCTGGAGAAAGGGGCACCCTCAAGGACTGAACTGACCTCCCATCCCCAGCCACACTCTTGCAGAGTGGCCCCTGCCTGGCTCCTGGGCCAAGCACCATGTCAGCCAGAGGTGGAGCCCAGTGTGTCCAACCAGGGCAAGTCCAGCCTCAGCCTGTGCCTCAGACTGACTTTGATTTGTTTTGTTGTTTGGTACCGGGGACTAAACTCGGGGACACTTAACCACTGATCCATATCCCCAGCTCCTTTTTGTGTTTTATTTAGAGACAGGGTCTCGCTGAGTTGCTTAGGACCTCGATAGGTTGCTGAGGCTGGCTTTGAACTGACCTTCCTCCTGCCTCAGCCTCCTGAGCTTCTGGGATTACAGGCATCTGCCCCCAAGCACCTGGCTCAGACTGACTTTTGGACTAGGAAAGAAAGGAGGTCTTTCCCTTTTGTTTTGAGCCCCCAACCCCTTTGCCCAACCTATGTCCTAAATAAAATAGCCTGTTGGCTAAAAGAACTGGCTTTGCTGTCTGTTCTCTGCATGGCGAGTTGGGGGTGCGTGTTACTCTAGGCAGTGAAAGGACGCGTGTTCTGTTTCTTATAGATTTCCCTAAGGGTGTCAGACAGCTTGGGTCTGTTAAGGAAGGGAGGAGTCCGTGAATCAGTTCCAGGCTGCAAAGTAGAATCTGCTGGATGAAGGAGTTTCTTCAAGCTCCCCAAAATCCCACATTTGGATCATCGGATGTGCAACCTAAAGGAGCAAGCCGACCCCTCCCCACCTTGAACCTGTGTGACATGGCACAGGCCAGAGCTTATTTTGAGCCCATTGTTTCCTGTTGTACAACCACAGGTGTGTGGTGACGAGGGGAGGCAGAGGGTGGGGACAGTGGGCAGTAGCTGGGCTTTCTCTTGGATGACATCAGCTCCAGGTGGATCAGGAAACACAGATATTTCAAAGAGGTGGTGATCTGATGGCTTGACTCTCCCCCAGCTGGTGTGAGAGGGATCTGGGCAGCCTCAGCAAGTCCCAAGGGTTCTGGGAACAATAACCCCAGCTCGCTTCTCTCTTCCCGCCTCTCTCCTGCCCCTCTTCCCTGCTGCCTTCCCTACAGATCTTCTCTGGTGAGCGTCCCCCAGCCTGACCCAGGGCATGCCCCAGTTCACTTTCGCCTGCTTCTGTGGCCTCCACGGCTTCTGCAAGATGAAGAGGAAGAAGGAGGACGTTCACAGAGAGCGGGAAACAGCAGTGTGAGCAGAACCAGGGCCCCTTTGTCACTCCCTAGCAGGTTCCGGGCCTGAAGCTGCCCACTGCTGCTGAAGCTGGCAGCAGGAAGCCAGCAGGAAGCATCTTGCATCATGATTGAGCGGCTGCTCCTCTCTCTCCCCCGGCTTGGCCAGACTCTAACCTGAGGGCATCCACCTCCTGAATGCCTCCTGGGCATCCTCATGCCCACACCCATTAGCTTCCAATCTTCAGACCTCCCTGGAAAGAGGTCTCCACTGGAGAAAGGGAGACCAGGACCTTCCACTTGCCTTTGCAGACACTGAGAAGCCCCAGGGAGGCCACGGAGTGGAGATTCTCTCCTGCCCTGAGAGCTCTGGGGACTCTTCTCAGAATAACCTTCCTGGGAGGGACACTCTGCCTTGGATGAGGAGAGCTGATACTCAATAGGAAACTCCAGCAAAGAACCACCCAGCAGCCCTGCGGACCCTGGTTGAGGGCTAAGGCTTGTCTGGTACTTGGAGGTATGAAATGACCACCTCCAAGTCAGGATGGGGTCTCTGTGGGGACCCTAGGACCTGGGACTGCAGCATTCGTGAGACATGAATCTTTCCCGGCTCCTTCCCAATGTCCTCCTGGGCCATGTGGACCAGGCCTGAGGTGGAGAGTAGAGCCGGACACAGAGGCCAGGCAGCGGTGACCCTGCTCTCTCTCCATCCAGCACAAGGCAGTCTTTCTGTGGCTTTGGCCCTGACCCACCCACTTCCCTGAGGCCTGTGCCTCCCTGGCAGCAGCACAGATGTGGGGGGACCTGCCTCCCAGGCACTGATCCCTTTCTCAGGGACTGTCTACCAGGGGCCAGACTGTGGGCCCCTTTCCTGGACTAAGCTGTGACCCCCATTTATTCCATCTCCCTGCCTCACCCTGCTTTTCTGTTCTCAGGAGCCATGGGGGTGGGGATGCTGGCATGTGGTGCCTTCAGGGGAAACTTAGGGTAGGGGGACCTCTTGGGCTTCCCTTGACTTTTCCCCTCATTGTCCCACCCATCAGCCCTCTGGCACTGTTTCCGACACCCCTTCCCCAGCTCATTTCCAGGAGGTAGGAAGCAAAAGAAAACCCTTCCCCTTTCCTCCCTCTCTTTCCCTCTTTCCCTCACTCTTTCTTCTCGCCCTCCCTCCTTGCCTCTCCGCCCCTTTGGTCATCATGCCTGGAGCTGGTGCTGTGGGGGGCTCATGGACAAGAAAGCCAGTGACAAGAGACCCTCTGAGCAGATTCTGTTGCTTCAGCAGGCCCGCTGCCATCTTCATGGGGACGACCAGCGCAGGACCCATCACATCCCCACCAGCATCCAGAGACAGATAAGCAGGTGGCCTGGTATGGGAGGTTGGGGCCAAAGGGCCGAAGGAGCACTGCACTCCCCTTTCCCTGGAACGTGGGAGGACAGAGGCCTCTGCAGAACCTGGCAGCCTTGGCCTGCCCAGCCCACGCCCACACTCAGGGGCATTTCCTGGGCTCTGGGCAGATTTGGTGGGATCAAGGTTGTCTTGGTGTGGTCGGAGTGCAGCTTAAGAGTTCTTTCCTCCATCCTCCAACCCCCTCCTTTGCCCCTGCCTCCCAGCCCCAGCCCGCGACAATCTGTTATTTCCTTTTATATCCAAAGAATTATAAACAGAAGTCCTTCCCTCAAGCTAACAGCAAGATTCAGCAGTAAAGGCCAGTGGGGTCACAAGGGACAGAAGAACACCTACCTGGTTCTTTTTTTTTTTAATATTTATTTTTTTGGTGTAGATGGACACAACACAATGCATTTTATTTTTATGTGGTGCTGAGGATCGAACCCGGGTCCCACCCGTGCTAGGCGAGCGCTCTACCGCTGAGCCACAATCCCAGCCCCCTCCCTGGTTCTTTGTCCTCATGGACAGAAGAGGCCTTGGGCCAAGCAAAGACCAGGGCAGCAAAGCTTTCAGGGGGCTCTCTTGATACAGAAGCCAGACAGCCTGCCCCTGAGAGCATGTGTCCCTAGTGTGGCCCACGTGGCTGCAGCCCTGGAGAAACCACTCCTATGATGGTGGAGGATGAAATCGTATCCCCACCACTGAGAGGTGTTGGGTGTTGTGTCCTAACCACATGGGCTCACCCCCAGGAAAGGTCAGGAGAGTGGAGAACGCAGGCGGGGGGTGGGGGTGGCATGGGGCAGCTCTCCCTGGTGCACCCAGCAGTCCTTGGCCAGGATCACAGCTGCAGGAGTTTGGCTGGACGCCCACGCAGAGCTGCTGCCCCCAGGAGAACGCCCTTGGCTGAGGAGGGACTCTGGATATCTTGGACCCCTGCTATGGGAACACCGTGGAGTCCCAAGGCCAAGGTATTCTGAGTGTGGGCCCAGCGGGCACCTGCCCATAGCTGTCCTTGACCTTCAAGCTGGTCAGGGCCAAGGCACAGCAGCTCCTAGCAGCCACCACCCTATTTTTTCCCTGTTGAGTCCTCAGGGGAAGGGCAACTTTGCTCCTCTCGGGATCTTGGGGAACAGTCTAGAAACCTGTACCCACCTCTATGCCCTTGGGTGAGCCCAGGGCAGGTAAAACCCAAAAAGGCTGAAGCGGCCCCAGCGCCTGCGTGCTGTGCTGCTGACTTCTAGCCCAGGCTCCTCTGCCCTGTTCCTTCTGGGATGGGCCTGGTGGCCTTGTTTCCTGCCCTGAAGAGTCTCACTCCTTCCCAGGGATTTAGTTGGATAATTTTGCCCTTTCCATTTCAAACTCCCTCTATTCCCTGCTCAAGTGAAGGCCAATCCATGGTCCTTCCCAGACTCTACTTGAGCTGGGGCCACTGAGCTCTTAGGGTGAGGCTCAGGCATGTGGGTATAGAGTTCTCCAAGTGAGTCTTCCTCAAAGAAGAGTGGGGGGCCTTAGTGTTCCCCATCTCTAAAGGGGAAACTTCCCATGCCCATCACCCCGTTAAGCTGGGTGCTGTTAAATGTAGGAAAAACAACTGTGAACAGCGCTTGGGGTCCTTGTGATTGAGTGTTTTCTGGGACCCTGGCCCATGAGCTCCAAGGGGCCTCTTGTCTTAAGTTGATTTCTTTATTAGGATGTTATTTCCTTCTCTACTCCCAGGGAAAGACTTTTTGAATGTAGCCAATGGGTCCATAGAAATATAAATGGAGAGTATTATTTTTTTGGCGGGGGGGGGGGGTGCAATAATTTAACTAACTGAGTTCCGAGCTCCCAGCTCCCAAAAATTTAACTAACAGTGGGAGACAGAGGGCCAGGAGCTAGGAGCCAGGTCTCCTGGGTTCCACTTCTTCTTGAACATTAGTCTAGTCAAGCCTTGTGTTTGGGACACAGTTTTCTCAACTGTAAAGGTGACTGCCCTCATATCCTCTAAGCCCCTTCTGAGTCCAGAGTTTTGGAGTTCTGGGAACTGAGCATCAGTGAGGCTCGAGGCCATGGGAGCAGAGGGGCTGCAGGGATCCTGTTCTCCAGTGGATGTTCTCTGCACAGATGGCCAATGTGTGGGGAGGGTGGGCCAAAGATATGGCAGATCCGAGAAATGCTGGGCAAGTGAGAGGGAAAGCCGAATCACCCAGAGATTTTGCTAGAATGTAACCCCCAGCAGGGTTCAGGACCCCTCCTTTCTATAGCCAGGTCCAAGGGAATAAATCTGCTGGCCCAGACTCTGACTACAGGTACCCCATTTGTGCTGTCTTCACTTTCCCTCCCTTGTTTTCCTCCTACAGATGCTTAGGAGATTTAGAAGACATCTCAAGGGCCTGTTCCCAGCCCCAGTTAGGTAACCCCTGTTAGGGATTCCCCTTGCACAGATGCCCATGTGCCCATCTCTAAGCTGATGGAACCCCCCACCTCATCACTTACCTTCTGCAAGGGGAAGCACCTCAGGCTGAAATTTGTTCCTTGCACAATACTGAATGTGCACGTTGCCCAGTGTTGGAGCGTGTGCTGGCCATGGGGTGCACTACACTCATGACAGTCTTTGGAATGGAGAGCCGCAACTCCCAGTGCTCCTCTGTGGCTGGCTTCAATGCACAGCAAATTGCTTCCACTCTCCTAGCCTCCTCCATAGAAGGAAGAGCCACTATTCCCGCTCCCTACCTCACAGGAAGGCACACACTACGCGGGCACATTGTGTCAGATGTGCCCAGATATGACTTGAACTTTTGGAGACAGACTTGGTTCACAATCATGAAGACAGGCTGTTATCCAAGAAGGGAATCTCGAAATGGCTGTGTCCAGTGGACTCCTGGCAGCCTGGTCCACAAGAACCAGAATCTGTTCCCAAGGAATGAACATTCTTCCTCTGACATCATCCTGTTGCCAGTACAAACAGCTCCCCAAGTCCAGGTTGCTAAACACCCTAGGGCCAGGGTGTCTGGCTTGTCAGAGTACCTTTCACCAACCTGGGGCCATCCACTGTGCCAGGGTTGTCTGGTCAGTCCTGCCTGGGGCCCCTTCTCCAAATTCCCCTGGGTCTGAACCATACACCTGGAAGAGGAAACAAACCCTGTCTTTTCATGGGGAAGCCCAGGTGGTGAGACCACCCAGCAGGACAGGAGGTGGGAGCTGCCCGGGCCATCCCTGGAGGAACTCTTAATGCTCAGGAAGAAATTCCCAAATCCAGGAACCCCCAAGCCTGGGTCATCTGGGCTCTGGCAGAAAGCCCCAGGGTCTGGAATTCAAGGGTTTTCCTATTGGGCTATTGGGCTGTCTCCCCATCTGGGGTAGCCCTCTCTCCTCTCTCAGCTCATTCCAGTGTTCCATCTGAGGGGCGGAGGAAGGTGGGAGGGGGAGATGGCAGGACCCAGACAGATCCTCAGGACTCTCCCAGCCTCTGTTGCCATGGCAATGCTGCTATTTTTATCCCGTTGTTCATGATGCTCAAAGCTCTGACTTTCTGTTCCAGAGAGGCCACGCTGCCTTCTGCCCTCATCCCCCAACACAGCACCTTCTCCCAGAGGCCTGGGAGGAGCGAAGTGATAAGGAAAGTCACCCCTCAGCCAGGGGCATCTGCTCGGCGGTTTGCCCCTGCACTATGGAGCCTCTGATTTACCACCTGGCTTAGGTACCCAGTTCATGCTTTCTGGGCAATCAAAACTCCCTGGTCGCCTGGGAAGCTGTGCCCAAACCCTATGGTCACCTGGGAGGCTGCTGCCGAGGAACTAGGAAGAGCCACTATTGAGGGTGTTTTTCTCACCTGATCATGACTGAGCCTGCTGCCCTTCTGGGGAAAACCAGACCCAGTTCTGAGGAATATCCTGTGGTGTGATCCAAGCTCTGGTCTCCTGCAAAGGGAAAAAAAAAACTAAGTTTGGTTAATTCACGGTCAGATCTTTGCGGGGGCATCTAAACCCCACCAAAGAACTAGGGCTAGGACAAATAGCTTCATGTCTTTGTCCAGTTTTTCTGGCCAAAACAGAGCAGCATATATTCTCTAGGCTGGAAAGCAGACTCCCCCTATTCAGCTACTTCCTCCAGGAGCCTAAGGTCCCCCTATCCTACTCCAAGATGCTAGGGATCAATCCCAGGGCCTTGCACATGCTAGGCAAGTGCTCTGCCAGTGAGCTACATCCCCTTCCTGAAGCCGTTGTGGTTTTGTCTTGTTTTGGTACTGGGGATTGAACCCAGGGGTGCTCTACTACTGAGCTACATACCCACCTCTTTTATTTTGAGACAAGGTCTAAGTTGCCCATGCTGGCCTTGAACTTAGGATCCTCCTGTCTCAGCCTCCCAAAGAAGGAGGATTATAGGCATGCACCACTGAGCCAGTCTTTCTTCGTTTCTTTCTTTCTTTTTTTAATGTGGTGCTGGGGATTGAACCCAGGACCTCATAGATGCTAGGCAAGCACTCTACCACTGAGCCACATCCCCAGGCTGAGCCTGAGGTCTTGTGGAAGCTCTTAAAGTCAGGGCTTAATGAAAAAGACTTAGAGTTGTTCTCCCCATCTCTTCTCCCTGGCCCACAATTTGGTCCTCTTCCTGTCCCCCATCTTCACTGCAGTGGCAGTAGCCCCCTGAAAGTCCATGGTGCTAATGTTCCCCACCTATATGCTTCTAAGTAGATCAGTTAGGTTTGAACCCAGCATGGGGGGTGGCTAAGTTGAGGGGTACATTATATGCACATCCTCAAGACCATGACCCTGGATACAGGTCGTGATCTTACCCCAGTAGAGTATCTGTATTTTATTATCCCCTGCACTGAGGCTCTTCCTCTGCTGAACTGCCTCCTGGATGGTTGAATTTCCTGGGGTGGCTGAGACCCATTTACTAAGCCTCTAATTGGTTTCATTTTAGCTCAAGTTGCATGGTTTCCTGAATCTATGCACCTGGAGTAAGCACTTTTCTGGTTGCCACTGAAAAGCATGTCGGCAAGCGCTGCTCTGTTAATTGCTGTAATAAACAGACTTTATTATATCCCTTTGCAGTAAATGAGTTATGTTGTCAGGGTGGATGGGGCATCCGTGTTTATTTCACACTGTAGTACATTGCAGCGGAAGCCAGACGTGCTTCCACTAACTCTGCCGAGAGGAGGAAAAATTACTAGGAGGAAGAGGCAGGGGCATGGACATGAAGTGAGGAGACTTGCAGGGACACCCTGAGCCCCTGGAACTCTGAGTCTCATTTGTGCAATCTGTAAATGCAGGGAAACCAGGCCTCCTGCCTCCAAGAATCTCAGAGAAATAGTGGGGAAAAACTGGCAGGCAGGGGTGGGGAACAAGGAAGGTGGTTTAGT